CTTTTTGATAAATAATTCGTTCTTATTGCGAAATAGGAGCACTATTTATCAATCTGTAATAAAAAATGTGAGGAAATTCTGTCTTTTTTAAAGACAAACATTTTTGAGGCGAAGTACCCAAAAAGAAGTTTGTAAAAAATGAATCCGCCTCAACAATATAGAACTTATTTTCTGCATGTGCACATGTAGAAAATAATTCAAACAAATTTAAGGTTTCAAGACAGCAAAGACCTAAAATAATGTAATGTTTACCAATTATGAGTTCGTATGGATTTTAAATCTGATGATGGCGCTGTTGTCTCACCGAAACGTAATGAAATAAACGTTATACAAATTTTTATTTCACACTTTGAACAGGAAGTGGAGTAGGTACATTTCAATGAGTGAAAAGTGGCGCATTTCGACTAAAAAAGCATTAAGAAAAGTTGTTGGTGTTGGCATAGATTTCTATAAACTGGGCATATTCACCCCTGGGCCTGGCGTTCTAGAAAATTACCCGAATGCAAAACAATTTCAACTCATTCCGCACTCAAAAGTGTCCGTTTGGCATTGAATTTACAGCGAACATCTCAATTCGGCACGTATTCTCTGTCCCAATTCTACCACTAATTATATAAGATGTTTTCTTTTTAACTAAAAACCTCAATCAGGTGGTCGTAATACGTAACTGCGCTCAACTGTTTGTGGCACAACGATCTCTTAGCACAATATCGGCTGCAGCGACCTTGGTCGATCCTTTCATAACAAGCAGGAAAAAATGGTAACAAACCATGCTGACAGAGAGACACTGATCGAGACTGGTGTGTGGGGGACAAGGACAACTAGCTAAGATCCTGCGGCTGTGATAGAAAATTTGAATGGTTTTTTCGCGCTCGTTGCATTAGATGAAAAAGAGTGGGGAGGTTTTGGAGGGGTGCCAGGCGCCAAAATACGTTTACCTAATTTTTGCTTCAAAATATCACATACCCCACCCTGAATTTGCTGCAGAACTTATAAATATCATGCCCAACCTGCAGGTTTTCGCAGTGATTTAATGTGGGGGGTTGTGAACTCTGTGAACCCGCACCCGATTGTAATCAGCCAAAAGACGAACGAGCACAATTGGCTTCCAGAACCTTTCCACCATGTCCATGGAGGCTCCAGTTCTAATGCGGATTATTCAGGGCAACTGCCGGCTCTATTCGAACCCGCGGTTGTTACTATCAAAGCACCGATACCTCCAAACAAAGAGAAGCTCATCCAGTGCTCCCGACCACCCTTCAAACGAAACCCGGCAATATTCCACGGAAAATCGCCAGTATTCAACAGCACTTGAATTCTATCCGGAAAACTATGAGGACACTGATGTTGTGGCGCCATCCAGAACTGATCAAACCGTAAAGCCGTACGAGGCGATTCCAGGACCGAAAGAACTGCCCCTGATAGGAAACGCTTGGAGATTTGCCCCAATTATCGGTAAGCCATGGCCAAAAACGGGAGTGAACCAGACCGTTAGTCTTCTATTTCTCAGGACAATACAAAATCCATGAACTGGACAAAGTGATGTGGTCCTTATACAAGGAACATGGACGTATAGTGAAAGTTGGAGGGCTAATAGGTGAGGAGTGAATGTTTCCAATCGAGAGCATCCCCTGACTTTGTTTGCGACTTTAAGGCCATCCAGATCTCCTGTTCGTCTTCAATGGGGAAGATATCAGGAATGTGTTCCGGAGGGAGGAGGCGATGCCTCATCGGCCCTCCATGCCCTCATTGCACTACTACAAGCAGAAGCTGAAGAGGGAGTTCTTTGCCGGGAATGAAGGGGTTATCGGCGTGTAAGTCGTTTATTTACTACTATGTAGGGTCGGGAATTTTCAAGTTTCTGGATGTTTCCGGATGTTTCAGGCACGGCCCGAAGTGGGAAGCGTTTCGAAAGCAGGTGCAGCAAATCCTGCTGCCTCCAGCCACTGCCAGAAAATACGTGGAGCCTTTGGATGTTATTGCGGGCGACTTTCTCACACTGTAAGTGAAGCTTTCATGTCCCAATTTGAGTTCTTTTGAGAAATTTGCTGAATGCGAAGCCCCTAAACAGTAGGCCGGGGCAACACTGTGTTGAGTTGTGCTATTGAGTTGTTGCCGCTCTCTGAGTTAACGAGTTATAACTCATCGGTTAATGAGTCTTATATTAAAGCTTCACGAGACCCGAGACCGGAACTTTTACATCTAAAAAAAGTCATCAACACTTTTTCTGAGTAACGTTTTACTACTCTGTCCAAAAAAAGTCGACGAGTCTTCTGGTAAAATCGATCTCTTAATTTTTTTGCATACAAGATTCAGTGTGTCAGTATTTTACAATAAAACGTTAGGAAGAACGCGGTTTTTCTGTTTAGAGACAGCGTGGTTT